TCATTTTAATTCATACCCATGTTAAAAGGTATAATTATTTTTTGAATCATTAAATCCCTTACTCATCTTCTTAAACACACCCTCTCTAAGTTTGACAAAACCTATGATTATAAATTTAATCTTTGGATCAACTACGAGTTGAGTTTGAAAACTTGAAATTAAATTTTTCAAACAAACATAAAATTTAGAGAAACTTTGAATTATTTTCCCCAAGGCCTAAATCCATTTTATCAAACCCTCGTACCCTTTTACCAATCAACCCCTTAAAGTTAAAAAGGATCTGGGTAGTAAGAGCAAAGCCCAACTAAGTGCCTATTTGATATGTGCCATAAGGGGGATTTGGAATATGAGTTGGGAATAAAAATTCACAAAACTCATCAAACCCATGTTTGACAACTAATTTATAGCTTAGGTTACCAAACTCAGCTCACTTTAGACCCGCAATTTTAACTCATATTCATGAGTTTCAAGAAATCCGATGGGGATGGGTTTCATATGAGGGTTAAAGGGTTGAACATAAAAAATAACATTTATATCCTTATATAACTCAAATAATCAAATAATTAAATATTCAAATACTTAAATATTAATCATATATTAAAATAATCAAATTTAATCAAATAATCAAATATTTATACTCCAAATAATCAATTATTTATACCTCAAATAATCAAATATTAAAATCATAAAGACACAAGAAAATATACATATATAAATATGAATTTGAATTAGATTGGTTAAGGGACATAATAGTCATTTATATATAAATATATTATCATAATAGTGATGTATCCGTGTGCATACCAAATATGGGTATGAACGAGATTAAATATTGAACCTCATCTTTATAAATAAGGGTTTGAGTTTAGAAGGATTTAGACAATAATCATTTATATACAAATATATTATCATAATCATGATGCATCCGTGCACATACCAAATATATGTATGAAAGAGATTGAATATTGAACCTCATCTTTATAAATAGGGGTTTGGGTTTAGAAGAATTTGGACAAGTCAATCCAAACCCCTCCCAAAACACCAACCAAATTGGCCTTGATAGGTTTGGATAAATTTCTNTTTCAATTTTCAAGTAATGAGCAAAATTATTTTATTCATGTCAAAATTACCTCATATTTCAACACCAGTTAAATAGATTCATTGCTGTCAAAATTATTTTATTCATTATTCATGTTGTGCATTTTCGGATTATTATCAAGTAATGAGCAATTTTAACCACTAATTTTAAACATAAATAAATTATAAATTCAGATGTCTTAAGTTCAAATCTTGATAATTTATTAGGATCAGACCATAAAGGATTTATCCCTCATAAATTTTTTAGTCCCGTGATAACCTATCTTTCACCAAACCAGAGAGAGGAAGAGAATTAGCCAAGGTACGCGTAAGTTAGCTCGAGCCATTAAACCCAAAAAAAAAAAAATTCCACCCCTGTTCCTCTGCCTCGATTGACCTAGGAAAGATGTTGAGAATATACCAGTCCATGAGTATTAAACCCAAACGCACAGCTTGGAAGCTCTCCTGCATAGGTGTATGCAGTGAAGGATAGTCCATTAGACAAAGTTCCCCTAATCAGATACCTGCAATTTCAAATGAAAAACGGTCAGTTGTGCTAATTTAATTAAGGTCCCTTATCAAAGAGCTGCTAAATCAAATGCAGATTAAATTCATCAGAAATGAGCTCAAGTTGGGTACATATAGTTCAAGAACAAGCTTACGTGTGGCCAACAAGAGCAACATTGGCGTCCTCGTTATGAGCTACAAAAGCCATTGAATCACTAACAACAAGAATATCCGAGCAATCTTCATCAGTTTCGTCCTTCGAATTTGTTTCTGTCTTGGGAATAAATGGAAGTATTTCCTTCCTGAAGTTGAGCAGTATAATCTGGAATATGACAAGTAGAAAACTGAGACTGATTCCATCAAAATAAAAAGAAAGTCCAATTCTCGTCACGCGTAGTTATAGCCGTGTAAAGAGAGACCATTTGGATTTGGGTAACTAATGGTTATTACAGAATTGAGGGTTTGAAGATTATACATCAAGAAGAGGCACGCCACTCCCTTCAGCAGTCCCCAAGAGTTCATCCCAGTACCTCGGAAACTTTTTCCGGTTGGTGTCGGAGAGAGCTCCGATTAGTGGCCGAGACTGGGGGTTTCGAGCAAATGGGAGGAGCTGGTGTTGGAGAATAAGGTCTGTGGCCAACCTGCTTCTTATCTGTGTGCAGAACCTTTGCCCTATCAAGAAACCCATTTGATAAGCGTTTTCACAGGGCCCAACTTCAAACATCTCCAACCTTTCCCCTTCCATGCTTGAGTTCTCCATATCAGCCTGTGTGTGTGTGGTTGTATTGTACGAGGATAAATTCATTTATATTTATCCATGTCCAGCAAAAAAAATTGAGCAAGTGGATTTAAAAAATATATTTAAAAATTAGACTTAATAATTTCAATTATTAATTTTATTATGAATCCTAGTATTTATTAGGACCCACTACTTATTCAATGATTGAAATTATTAAGTTTAATTTTTAAATTTATTTTTTAAGTTCACGTACCATTACTCAAAAAAATTTTATATCCCAATAGAAGAGCAAAAAGGGATGCTAGTGCCAACACGCTAGGAGTTCATGGATTTTGAGGAGTTTGAATTGATTATTTTAAATTTTTTTTAAATTAACCTTATTTTTGTAAAGATGAAATTTAATATTTAATTCAGTTTATACCTATATTTGGTATATAATACATATACAAAAATAACTATTTTATCCTTAATCATTTTAATTCATACCCATGTTAAAAGGTATAATTATTTTTTGAATCATTAAATCCCTTACTCATCTTCTTAAACACACCCTCTCTAAGTTTGACAAAACCCATGATTATA